AAATGAGTTCCGACTCCTACGAGAGGCACAGAGCCAGCTCATTCATGGGAGAGTAAACTGGATTCACTCCTGCCTTGCGCATCGCCGACAAGCTGCTAGGGTGAAATCTGATCAAGGCTGAACAGGGCATAAGTCAGACTTCAATGGCACACAGGCCTCATGCTGGCCCTCGGCATGGGGTGGGGGGGAAGATTTCAAATAAAATGCACAATATTGTCATTCAGATCCCGGTTGGAGAGCGCAGTCGGGCAGTCAGAAAAATAAATACTGCTTTCCTTTGTACACTGAAACCATCTGAGATGGAGCCCTTGAGAAACAATCAACATGGAACTCCCCGTGGTAGCATTTTTAGAGAATCATTTTTTTGAGTAGTATAACCAAAATCAGGAACAAACCCAGATTAACACCTATGAATACATGCTGCTTGCACCTGCATGACTTTCTCATTCAACTTAACCTTGTAGTTTTATTCACTCTTGAGGTCAACTGCCCTGACAACATTTAAAATAAAATAAATTAAGGCTAGAGATGAGTTTCAGAAAGCAATGAAACAAATACAGACGTCACCAGCACTCATTACAACCAAGCTGTAATTGCTTCAATTTAGTCAACTTCTGATCCAATACACTATACTTGGAAAGTGCCCTTGAAACATAATGAATTCAATAAGGAAAATTCTTATATGGTCTAACTTAAATTATTAAAAAGGCGGAAAAGAAAGGTTCTTAATTATTTAATATTTCACCAATAATTATATAGCTCAGTATAATATTCACTTACTGGGGAACCTGAACGCAGAAGGAACATTTGTGAATATCAGTCAAGCACAAAACACCTGCCAGACCATAAATTCAGAGCGCTACACACACACATCCAGTGCAACACTGCATTCAAACCTTAGGAATAATTCAAGTTTTCAATTAATGGCAAACTCTAGCAAATCAATTACATAATACAATATTTATGTAGCAAAACAGGCCCTGCTTAATTTCCTTTTTGTATGTAAAAAACAAACTTTGTTCCATAATTAATCCAACAGTTACAAACATTCCTAGGTAGTGAAGAGTGAGAAGGGTCTATTTACCACACAAAAACCAAGTGTCTACAAAATTGAAAGCTATGGCTCTAAGATCTCAAGGAGAAGAAGTCGACCGGCGCATCCTGGAATTTTCTGGGCAGAAATTAAAGAACCGTTCTTCAAGGTGATTTTAAAGTTATTGAAAACATCAATATGAGGCATCAATATGAGGAAGGTTATTTGCATAATGCCCTCAAAGAGTGATTCTTAAGAGACGTATTCAGCACCTAGTAGGAAAGAGGGAAGCCTTCTCGTCTCTCTCTTTTTGGGGGGGTTGAGGGGCTGGTCTAAGTCAGGATTCACTAGCTCCCACTCCGTGATAACCTCAGCATGCAATGTGCAGCTAGATTATGACCACAATGGAAGTGCAGTGGAGCAGAGAAGCAGTCTTCAGAGAGCCAGAGGTGTTTCATATTTAGACATGCATCATGGTTTGCAAAGGTTAATTACTATTTACTCCTCCTAGGGGATAACTATTTTAACTTTACAGCTGTTTATTTTGTTTTAAGTCAGATTGCAAAGGTCGTTAGAGGCTTTTTCCTTCTCTTCTTTGAACCGTGGAAATACAGAAATTCCGTATTTCACCGTTTCCCTCTCCCCTAACCTCTAACCCTCCAATGACTTACTGAAGTGCCTCTGTAACCCATTGGTCAGCATGCCTCATGCGTCCCTAATCCACAGCGGACACAAATCTGGTCCAGCCGACAGCTGTGCACTATTCTTTAGTTCAAGACACATGCTTTGAGCTCTAGAGTCTCCACGGTTCAGTCCCTTGTGTTGGCCAAGACAGCAGCTGTCATGCTTAACACTGAAGTCCACGTGGCTGCTCCAGCTGTGGAGAATTTAACACAAGTTTAAATCTTCGCAGGATCAGGGCCTGGACAATTCGACTGTGAAATGCTGAGGGAGATTAGAGAGGCTATAAAATAAAAATCTCAATAATAGTGGGGGATTTCAACTGTCCCCATTTTGACTGGATACACGTCACCTCAGGATGGGAAGCAAGGAAGTTTGTTGACACTTTAAACGACTGCATCTTGGAGCAGCTGGTTCTGCAACCCGCAAAGGGAAAGGCAAGTCTTGATTCAGTCCTAAGTGGAGCACAAGCTCTGGTCCAAGAGGTGAATATAACCGGACCCCTTGGAAGTAGTGACCGTAATCTAATTAAAATGAACATCCCGGTGTCAGGAAAAACACCACAGCTGCCCAACACGGTAGCATCTAATTTCAGAAAGAGGAGTTATACAAATTGCTAAACAAAACAGTCACCAGGACCCAATGGCATGCACCCAAGAGTTCTGAAAGAACTCAAATGGGAAATTGCAGAACTATCAGGTGGTTTGTAAGCTATCCTTTAAATCAGCTTTTGTACCTAATGATTAGAGAATAGCTAATGTGACACCAGTTTTGAAAAAGGGCTCTAGAGGTGATCCTGGCAATTACAGGCTGGTAAATTTAACCACAGTACTGGGCAAATTGGTTGAAACTATAGTTACGAACAGAATTGTCAGTCACCCAGATGAACATAATTTGTTGGGGGAAAAAGTCAACAAGGTTTCTATAAAGCAAATCATGTTTATTAATCTACTAGAGCTTCTTGGGAAGGGAGGTGGGGGTCCAACACGCATGTGGAAAACGGGGATTCAGTAGATATAATGTATTTTGATTTCCAGAAAGCCTTTGACCAGGACTCTCACCAAAGGCTCTTAGCAAAGTAATCTATCATTGGATAAGAGAGAACATCCTCTCACAGACCAGTAATGGGTTAAAAGATAGGATACGAAAGGTAGAAATGAATGGCCAGTTTTCAGAATGGAAAGAGGTAACTAGTGGTGTCCTGCAGGGCTCCATACGGAGACCAATCCTATTCAACATATTGATACGTGATCGGGAGAAAGGGGTAAACCGCGAGGTGTCAAAATTTGCCGATGAAACTGAACTGCTCAAGATAGTAAGAACATAAGTGAAGTCCAAAGCAGACTGAAGAACTTCAGAGGGATCTCACTAAACTAGGTGACAGAGCAACAAAATGGAAGATGAATTTTTTGTTGATTAATGCATATTGTCAAGTATCAGAGGGGTAGCCGTGTTAGTCTGAATCTGTAAAAGCGGCGAGGAGTCCTGTGGCACCTTATAGACTAACTGAAGTGTAAGAGCATAAGCTTTCGTGGGCAAAGACCCACTTCGTCAGATGCATGTCAAAGGTTAATTACTATTTACTCCTCCTAGGGGATAACTAGTTTAACATCTGACAAAGTGGGTCTTTGCCTACGAAAGCTTATGCTCCTACACTTCAGTTAGTCTATAAGGTGCCAAAGGACTCCTTGCCGCTAATGCATATTGGTAAGTATAATCCCAACTATACATATAAAATGATGAGGACTAAATTAGCTGTTACCCCACTCAAGAGAGAGATCTTGGAGTCACTATGGATAATTCTCTGGAAACATCCACTCAATGTGAAGTGAAAAAGCAAACAGAATGTTAGGTATCATTAAGAAAGGGATGAGAAAGAGAGTATCTTATTGCTCCAACATAAATCCATGGTACGCTCACATCTTGAATACTGTGGTCATCTTATCTCAAAAAAGATATCTTGGAACTGGAAAACGTTCAGAAAAGAACAACAAAAATGATTAGAGGGTTGGAAAGGCTGCCATATGAGGAGAGATTAAAAAGACTGGGACTTCTTTATTTAGAAAAGAGGAGACTAAGAGAGGGGGGAATATGATAGAGGTTTGTAAAATGACTGAAGAAAGTAAATAAGCAAAAGTTACTTACTTGCTCCCATAAGAAAAATACTAGGGGTCACCAAATGAAATTAATAGGTAGCAAGTTTATAACAAACAAAAGGAACTATTTCTCTACGCAGTACACTATCAACCTGTGGAACTCCTTGCCAGAGGATGTTGTGAAGGCCAGATCTTTAACAGAGTTAAAAAATGAGCTAGATATATTTATGGAGGATAGGTCCATCAATGGCTATTACCCAGGATGGGCAGGAAAGGTGTCTCTTGCTTCTGTTTGTCAGAGGCTGAAAATGGGCAGCAGGAAATGGGTCACTTGATGATTCCCTGTTCTGTTCATTCCCCCTGGGGAACCTGGCATTGGCCAATGTCTGAAGATAGGATATTGGGCTGGCTGGACTATCGGACTGTCCCAGTATGGCCATTCTTATGCTCTTATCTTTGGTTGTTTCACATTGTTCATTTGATACTACTCTATTTGTGACACCTCAATGGTGTTGCTTCAACACACTCACCCCAATTTATCCTCCAATCAGAAAAGGATAGCCTCTCTTCTGATGTAAAGTGGCAAAAAAGTGCACCCGACTGAACACCACTTCAATCTCATTTAACCCACCAACCAGCATATGCAGCAGTCTCTGAAAAGGATGGCAGATCTCAAGTGTTATGAGCCAGCAAATGAACTAACAGGACATTTATGTTCATCAGACTATATTTTTTAAGAAAAGGAATGCAGAAATTCCCAACCTGTTACCCCGAGACTGCTACAGAAAAACCGACTGGAGTTATTGATTCATCTGCTGGCTAATTATGTCTGAATTTCAATTTTTCTACAAACAAACGCGTGTTTACATCAGTCTGTTAACATGCTGAGAACCTGAGCAATGCGCTTCAGCAGCAAAGTAAGTTCCATGATAAATGTGATCTCCAATCTGTGCACCAGTCAAGTAGGTATAAAATCAGAATAATTCATGCACAAATTTTCATTATGTTTCTAAGCATACTTATTTACATTTTAAATCACACATTAGACAATATGAAATATCTTTCATGTAGACAGGTGTGAGCGAGAAAACAGATGCACCCATTAAGTAAGAAACAAGTCAATGAAGACAATGAATGAAAAAGAGCCGGCGAACTCTCGGTTTTAGTACTGGAACCGCTGTGGGACTTACTTGAAAAAACACAGCCATGGCTCCTATTATCCGGTTTTCTAAAATTGCTGCTCCAAAACTGTCAAAGTCATCAGGATTGTAGAAGTAAATCTGCATCTGTAAAAATTAAAAAACACAAGTGAATCAATTGGCTAGTGGTGTAACTTTTAACTCGAGTGGCATGCAGTGCTACCCTTTGATCAATTGTTACAACTCGGAGACAGACAATATCACAGAGCAGAATTCCTTTAACTAGCATTTTGATGAACAGTATGGCTGCTATACCGGGACAGTGACCAGGGAACAGATTCAATGCAATGAATTTTAATAACAAACCAATGGCTAAACAGCGCATCCAGCCTGTTTAGATGGCAAACCCAAGTTTTCTGCCAGCATGCTCACATTCCCTTTTTCATTACAGGCTTTTCTCCAGTTCTATTACAGCGGCTATGCAAGTTTATCTTGAAAATCTTTAAGGTTTTTTTTTAAGCAGCATTTTAATGCAGCGCATTACTTTTCTTTATTTCTAAAGCAATTCATGAGATTCAAATAAAGGAGTATCAGTATCAATGCATTTTTATGAGCCTCTGATAAAAAGGACTGTCAGCTGGTGCTGCACTTTTCCCTGATTTTAGTTAAACATCAACCAATTTTGCCTCAAGGGCTCTGGCAACAGAAGAATTCTGACTGAAGAGCATCTGCACACCTACTCATGCACAATCATTGGCACATTAGTTACAGTGTGTTCCAGTGGTGCGGGCACTGCATGATGAATCAAAAGACTTTGGTTCGATTCCTGGTTTTGCCACTGGCCAGCTGGATAACCTTGGGCAAGTCTCTTGACTTTTTCCTTTGCCTTAGACTGAAAGCGCTTCAAAGCGGAGACAGTCTCTTACAATGCATCTGTACAGTGCCCAATTCTGTCAGCCCCTAATCCCAAGGGGTCACAGGTAATGTATGTGCTTGTTCTGACATTGTTTCTGTCTCCGATGGTTCTGACAAAGGGCTTGTGCTCTTCTGAGATTGCGCAGTGGAACAAATCCTACCATTGCTTCTGTAGACATATCAGTGCTCTCCCCCGCTTTCCACAGCTTCTGCACGTGGCATGCTGCCTCAACTGGCAGGCTGTTACTACAAACACGTCAAAAGCTCATTTAGCCTCCTCAAAGTGAAAAATAAGTCTTAATTATCTTCCTGGGATAGCTACCAGCCATGTGGAGTGAGTCCCAGATTTCTGGCAGCGTGCACTGGTCGTAAAGGTGCAAAACTATAGCAGCACCTGCACACCTAACGACACATTAGCATAGGGAGAAAAGAAGAGGCCCAGAAGATCAATCCGTAACAGTGGAAATAAAGAAAACTACCATTCAGATGCTTCAGAACAACTGCAAAAATCCACAGGAAAATACCCTCGCCTGGAGTGACGGGAGGTGGGTTTTTTCCCTTCCCAGACCTCGAATAGCAATGTATTTACAGAGCTCAGAGATTCTGGCAGTCTCTCACACATGTAGGGCCTCCAGGTTTGGCCAGTTTTTGACATGAACCAATTGACTAAGAAACAGCCATTCATTGATACTGAAATTAAAAACAATTCATTTTAGGTTGAACGGCTTAAGGTTCATTTAACTGATACAGGCTGCCGCTCACTCGATGATAGTAAATTACATTTTACTTCCTCTTAAACCAGACTATAATTGGGTATTCCTCCCGCAAAAATATTTTAATATATGGGCCTCATCAGAGTTTATGAAGGAAAGTTTCATTCGGCGAGTTAGGATATTTGCCAAAATCATTATACAGCAGGCCATAATATTTGAAGAAAATTAACTTTTTAAATAGACTTTTGGATAATAGTGCAAATGGCTTTGGTAGAACGGTCGTGTGGAGAGCCTCCATCTCAGCTCTGCAATTGCAGCATCTAATCAACAGTATATACCTGCCCTGATTACCACATGTGTGGAAACATTTTCATGGCGCTCCCCTGATGTCTTTCCACAGAGGGGGGTGCTCTTAACGGCATCACTCAAATCAAGGGGAATTGTATTGTATGAGAAAGTATTTTCATTTGTCACATACTAACAGGCCTACATGATCCTCCAGCTGGAAGGAATTTAGGAGTAGAGTCTGCCAAGAAATTTAGCTTGTGCCTGCATCACACAAAAGCAGTGTGAAGAGGAAAATAACACTGCCGGAGTAAGTACTCAAAAGTCCAGTTCAGATTACAGTTGAAACCTTTTGGCTGTGTCTACACTGGGCCACTTATTCCGGAAAATCAGCCGTTTTTCTGGAATAAGCTGCGAGCTCTCTACACTGGCCCTTGAATTTCCGGAAAAGCAACGATGCTCTACTGTACAAAATCAGCCGCTATTCCGGAAAAACTATTCTGCTCCCGCTCGGGCATAAGTCCTTATTCCGGAACACTGTTCCAGAAAAGGGCCAGTGTAGACAGCCCAGTAGTCTTTTCCGGAAAAAAGCCCCGATCGCGAAAATGGCGATCGGGGCTCTTTTCCGGAAAAGCACATCTACATTGGGGAATAGTATTCCGTTTTAAGCATTTCCGGAAATTCATGTCAGTGTAGACACAGCCTTTGTGCATTGGTATGATGACACAGGTTGATCATGTGATCATAGACTACTTCCTGCCGTAAAATCATGTCCTTTTTTCTACAATTAACAGGTGTAGCATCTTCTCACTCATTTCTTTTATACACATTTCATTTTCAAACTAGTCTCTATAATATTATTATACATTTTTATAACGGGGGTGCATGAGGACTAATCGAAGCATCACTGTGCTAGGCCCTGTACAAATTCAGCGGTACACCATCCGGCTATGTCTACACAACAGCGTTATTTTGGAATAACTGCTATTATTCCAAAATAACATAGTTTGCCTCTACACTACAAGCAGTTACTTCAACAGAATGTCGAAATAATGTCGAGCTGGAGGACTTCTTACCTCGACTCCTGTAACCCTCATTGCACGAGGAATAAGGGAAGTCGGAGGAAGAGTGCTCTCTCTCAGACTTCCTGCTGCGTAGACAGCGCCAAAAATCTGAAAGACGCTATTTTGATTTAAGCTACGCAACTGAGGTAGCTCAAGTTGTGTAGCTTATTTTGGCTTTAGCCCTACTGTGTGGACGTGCCCTCCCTGAGCCAAAGAGCTTACAATCAAAATAGACAAGACAGATACAGAGGAGAGAAAGGTTAGAACACACGAGCAGGGTGACCAGAGAGATAGGAGCAAATGGCATGCTAATTCCATTGGGGCTTTTTCTGGAAGGTGGTGGTGGGGAGGCGGGGGGGTTAAACAGGAAGCAAAGGGAAGGGTGAGAGGATAGTGTAGGCATCTGGGGTGAACACGACAAGGCAGGGGAAAGAGGACAAGAGTAACTAGTGAGGAGTGAAGCTGAAGTAGAGAGACTGGACAATGGGAAGAGTGAAGCAAGTAAACAATCAACACAGGGCAGAGAAGTCCAGCAAAAAAGGCATTTTCTGACTGTCTAAAGGTTTCTCCTTTGCCTGCTCCTGCCAGCTGGAGTTTGGCACATCTTCACTAATAGACATTTTAACGCAATGTTTTCTACCAGCAGCACAGACCTCGTTGGGAAGAATTCAAAGAAAACACAATTAGCTATACAGCTAACTTTACTGTATACCTTGGTGACCTAAATATGCCAATACATTTTCACTATTACTCATTGTTACATACTTAATACAATGTGCGGTGCATTTCAGGTATCAATGACTTTCAATGGACTCTGTCTGGAACTAACAAGATACTGCAAACGTGCATGAAAGGTTGCAGAAAAACCACAACCTCTCACTAAAGAATATTTGAGAACTAGAACATGCCCAAGGGAACAGAATTAAGGTTGCCTGTGTAACCTTAACTGTGACCTTCCCTGACTTTTGAGTGCTAGAGTGGGCAACCCTGCTGTAGGCTTTTGTATGCAACTTCCTACAGGGCTCTAGTTTTATTTAGAGAGAAAAAAAAAACCTCGGGAGTAAAAAACCCAAATAGCAGCAGCTTTTCCTCCCAGACTCTGAACCTCTTCACACTTGGAAGACTCTGACAATCTTTACAAGTGTATGTTCCCGAGTCCCATGTTCCAGGGAGCCTTCCTGACAGCTTTACAGCCAAAAGCCTTCCCAGTGACAGTTCCTAAAGGCCACGAAAGTAGAGCTCCTTCTTGCTCAAAGTACTAGACTTACTACCTCAAACTTCTGAAACTCCTTAACCACTTACAAGGTTTGCAGGGGCCTGAACAGACCTTCAAAATATTTCACTACGTGGCTCATACAGGCAGTACAAGTTTCTTAGCTGCATGTTTAACGTGCTATGCAAACTACACCATGCATGCCCAGTATGAAATTTTCAGTGCCTAACGTAGGCCATGTCTTCACTAGAGAGAAGATTGATGCTGTGGCAATCGATCTTCTGGAGTTTGATTTAGTGGGTCTAGTAAGGTCCTGCTAAATCCAACTCAGAGGGCGCCAGTACTTTTGCTCCTGCGAGGAGTAAGGGAAACCGACAGGAACATTTACTCCCATCAGCCTTCCGTTGTCCAGTGGGCAAACTCACCCACTCGGAGTGTGGGTTACACTTCAGTTGCAGAGTTTAATAAAGAAACATTGCAAGAGTGGAAAAGGTTTTTATTTTTCACTCTCTTTATGCTCTAATGTAGCTGGATTGTTTTTCTCAGACTTGACAAAGATTCACTTTCCAGGAGAGACCAAGCCTGAGTTACGAGTGAATGAAAACAAGGAGCGCGAGTGAAACCCCGTATGTCACAGTAACCCTGGAGATTGTTGTCCATACTGCGAGTATGGTTTGTAGGCAGAGGGTTGCCTCTTTCTCCAGCCCTGGAAATAACTAGGGTCAGACTCAGACCGCTGCTTGGGCACTTCTTCAGGGCAACATTGATCAGTGGCATCCACAATCTTCAGCCGAACCCCCACAGGGCCACATAAATCCAACAGGCACACAAGTGGACCCAGGGCTTCCTTGCCAGAGCCTTTCTCCTCCTAGTAACTCTTCCCCAGGGCCTATCACAAAAATCAGCTTACTTCCTGCACCTTCCCTCCTCGGCTGAGCTCCGTCAGCCTTTGCAGGT